GCTAGACACAGAATTTAAAAAGACAAAAATTATGGCCTGTGCTCAAAGGGGCTTGTAGTGAAGGGGGCAGAACTGGTGCAAGAATCATTAAAACAAGAAATCATTAAAGCAAGTACGTGTGACAGAGAAGTCGTGCCTGGGGAAGCTAATGGTTCTGTTTAGTTGTGGAATGAGGGGATGCCTGAGGTCATTTTGTGGAGCTGAATAGGGTTTGAACCATGATAAGATGACTCAATAGTCAGCCACCCAATGACACAGGTAAAGCAGCAAACTAGATGTTTAGGGCAGAGGCGTGAGACAAACTAGCATCACTGTATTGTGACCTGCACGTTTTTTGGTCACGATTGCACATGGGCTGTGACTAAAGTCTCTCCACATGGTGGGAAGGCTATGTGGTGAGGAGGGGTGACAGGATCGTCAGTGGGTGGAACAGCTCAGCGTGTGGGCATTGCAGTTACGGAGATGGTAGGGTGCAGGATGGAGGGACACCTGGGCAGGTGAGGAGATGTAGGAGGCACATTCAGTGACAAGGCTGAGGATTTATGAGTTAATTGTCGGCATGAAGGCTATGGCAGGGAGAGCTAAAGACTGGCAGAGTGTGTGCGGTGGAGGGTTGTACAGAGCGTAAAGAAGGAAGGAAATCAATCTGTACGTGAGAAAGAGATTAAAACCACAAGTTGCCTTTTGTCTCACTTCAATAAAAGTTTATTGAAGACCTGTGTGTTCATGGACCATGCTTACTCTCGGGAAACAGGACTTGTAAGACAGGAAAGAAGCCATACGCATGTGGAAAGATAAATATTGCATGTCTTTGTGATCTTAACACAAGATGCTTAGCCTGTAAAGATCAACCCTTTCAGGTTTCCCAGAATGACCTTTACACAGCAGGTCATGACATACAGTAAGTCCTTGCCTAACATCGTCAGTAGGTTCTTGGAACCTGTACCTTTAAGTAAAACAACATATAATAAAATCAATTTTATTAAGGTCTTAACTGATAGAAACAAGAGTTAGTTTCCTACGGCATATTTCTATTCACAAAAAAAAATCACCAACTTCTAAGTAAAGACCCCAAATACTTCTAATACTAAACATTGAAATAAATATGAACTCTACATACTTTTAAGAAAGATGAGTAAAAACAAGTCCGATCATTATTTTTTATCCTACCGATTCTAGTTCCTGGCCTCAGGTGGCCAGAGCCTGTCCCAGCAGGTCCGGATGCAAGGTGGGACCATGTCGGACAGGATGCCCTTCCAGCTGAGGGCCACTCATACACACCTACACTCAGGTTGGGACCTTTAGACGTGCCAGTGAATCCAGCATGCACATCTGTGAGACATGGGAAGAAGCCAGAGTCTCTGGAGAGAACCCAGATGTGGGAGAATATGCAAACTCCACACGGACAGTAGTGGCCTTAGCCATGAATTGTTGTTTTCCTCATCAACATTATAACAAAATGATGTGAAATGAAATGATGTTATTCAAAGAGCCACTGTATTTATGCTGGCCAATGTGGCCCAGTGGTTGGAGCACCATCTCCGTAACTGAAAGGTTGTGGTTTGCTTCCCAGTCAGGGAACATACCTGGGTTGTGGGTACATCTCTGGTCTGTGTGTGCACGAAGGTGACCAATCAATGCTTCTCTTGCATCAATCTTTTTCTCTCCCTTCCTCTCACCCTTCCTCTGTCTCTCTCTCTAAAAAAGGCAAAAGAAAATGCCCTTGAGTGAGGATTAAAAAACATCAAGTCCTCTATTTTGTTATTATCCAGAATTGTGCATTAATTACAGTATGGTACCACCACGTGCAGCAATTTATTATGTGTTAAAATAATATTTATTAACATGGGAAATGTTCCTGATGTGATTTTAAGGTAAAAAAACTTTAGAAATTATATATACAGTATGATTTCAGTTTTATGAATGCGGATGTGTATGTTTGGGGTGGGGAGAAGGGGTGAGAGAATGTCGGTAGTCACAATATTAGTTGATATCTCTGGTTCATGAGATTAGAAGAATGTTTATTTTCTTCATCTTCCAAGTTTCGTAGGATGCATGTATATTATATAAGCAACTTATAGTCAGACAGTGCTATTTAAAGTATTTTCCCTAGTCATTCATATAACTTTTAAAAAATTTATGTAGTATGTACAGTTAAAACATGAAATCCTAATAGGCTTTCTTCTGCCACAAAGTAACTTTTTAGCTGTTCTTCCTTTTTTGTTCACCATTTATTTTCATGAATTTCTTTCTGACCTCATCTCTATCTCTGTGCTGCCGAGGAAGATGGCTTGCACATCTCCGTTCACCAATGAATAAAACCTCCCCCGCACCTCAGCCAAAGCCTTTCATCTTTGCGTTCTCTATCTGTGCCACTGTACACAGCGCTGAGCTTTGCTGATTGTGTCTTTTCTGTTTATATCCCAATGGTTGCCATTTTCCATTCCAGTGCCCTTTCAATTCCATTGTATTTGTGATTATCGATCTTATTCTTCTTTTCTGGTGAATGTTTATTCTAACACCCATCTGCAAGCCACCCATAGCACTGCTTGGATACAGTTATTCATCTCATTGAACGTGGGTATTTAAGAATATATTTCTTTTGTATTGGTAGGTTTCTCTTTGTAGTGTCTCTGAAAGAAAGTACAACAACACTTGGATGCAAAAATGTCATCCAACAAAGTCCTGCACATGGGTCAAAGGTATAATCTACTGAATCCAACGTCTGTCTCTAAAGGTTAACTCCAGGAACGTTTTGTGGATGAGTGTGATTGTTGTCTCCTAATGCAATTCAGAAGGTAGAAATGAACGTCAGACATACCTAATTTTCCTTTTTAACCCATTCTGGAGGTAACAGTTAATAAATTGTGTAACCCTTTCTGAAATTAGTTTATTCTGTCTCTGCACATGCTCAGAGTTAATGAACTCCACATGTGAATAAAACCATTTATATTTTATTGTTTCCATTATTATTTCCTTGAATTCTAAGTTCCAGGATTTGATGGAGGGCCATGTATCAGCTTACCCTGTCCCTTTGACTCCAATTTCATAGGCTTGGATTCGCCCCTTTCACTTTCCTCCTTTAGCACAGAGTGATTTTTATTTGACCCACACCTTGGAGTGTCCCTCCCGTGGTGGTTTGCTGAGTGCCCGAGCAAAGGCCTGTGTTGACTCCAGGCCTGCACTTGTGAGAACACCCCATTCTCTGCTTTATTTTCTATATCCCTTCTTTTGGTATTGTTGAGCTCTTGGCTGGTGTTTCATTCTGGACCCATGTCCTCAGCTGTAAGACATCACAGAGTCGGGACGTACTCCTTAGACATGCTGCGTGGGCCACATTCTTGGGGGGATGGTTAGTTGTAGAGATAACTCAGAATAGCTGCCACTGCTGAAGTAACGATTTTGTAGTGCATCCTGTTATGTGTGTATATTTGCAATTTACATGCACACGTAGGATGATTTAACTGAGACAATTCTAGTGAATGAAAAATTGCTTTGCTTTGCTTAAGTATACAAGACCTGATGGATGGAAAGAGAGAGCGAAAGTATTTTGTTGGAAGGGAGGAAAATCCAGTGTGGGATTAAATGAATGTTGTAGATGATCTTCAACATGAATTCATCCTTGTGGATTAATGTAACATGCATCATCAACTGCGAGGGTCACTCTGCTATCCCTAGTTTTTTTTTAAAAAAGGAGAGTAAAGGAGGCATCATCCAATCAAGCTATAAAAAAAGTAATTAAAAATTAATTTTTTTGTGAGAAGCCAAAAGGAATTTGGCTTTGTGTCCCTCCTCCCCATCCGCTCCCTCTTCTCCTCGCCCATCAGACCCTTCCCAGCCTCCACGGGGGGCCCAGCTGCCGTCCTTCCCTACACTCAGGGGCCTGTAGGAGACTTCAGGGGGCCCTCCCCATCTCATTTCCTATCTTGGAGTGTCACATTGTGCCTTCCGTATAATTGGTCCTTAACAAAGGTAAAAATGTGTTTTACATTTAATTAAGAATGATCTCATTCTTTAGCAACACAAAGTGTTATTATGTGAAATGGGTTTATTGTGCTCTGGGAATAATCTTTCTTTAGAGAAATAGAGGAGGTTTTAAGAAAAAGATAAAAACAAGTTTTGTAGACTACAAGAGAAACGAGTAGTATAATAGAATCCCGAGGACAAGGGGAACTCTCCATCCCTGGAGATCCTTAAAAACTGGACCAAGAAAACTTCTGTGAGAGTGGCTGGTGCATGAAACCTGTCTCGAGATGAGTCAACAGACATAATGACAGAGGGTTGTGCGAGGGTTTGATTCCTTGGTCTGAAGAAGAGAAGAGCGAGGGGTAAGACATTAAAACTGCTCCACATATGGAAAATCTCTGTTGTTGCTTCTGTAGGAAAACAAGTCAAAGGAGCTTAGAGATTCAGGTTACATTTATAGTTAGGGAATTTAAGATATAGATTGTGAAAATCCTATGGAAATCTTCAAAATAGGAAGGAAATCTTCAACTTGTGTGTGATGTGGAGTCATCTCTGTGTTTCTGTTGCGATAAAAATATTTTTATATTACTCTGAACAGAGAGAATCATTCCAGTATGTTATATTCAGGGTATAGAATTCTCTTGGGAAGGAAAACTTATAGAAGTGGTATTTTAAAGCACTAAGCATCGTCACTGTTTTAGGGATAAGAGGGAGGAACAGAGATAATAAGTGTGAAGTCCTTCCCATCCAAATACCTTTGCAGTGTTGTGTCGTTAAATCAGAGCCTGTGTACAGGAGGCGTGTGGGACAGATCCCTTCCCTGCGGGGCCGGCCTTGCTTTAGCCATTAGACATTTTCCTGATGAACATGTGGAAGACTTGTGGGGAAAGCGCTACAAAACCCCTACCCATACAAAGGGCACCAACATGCCTACTGAACAGTCTTCCTTAGGTATTTGATTGTAATTTCTACATTCAGCCACATGATGTCACAATTGGATTTCAATTTCACTGTGTATTTGTCTCAAATAATAGATGAAGGCATTTTCAAAGCTGGAGCAGAGAGATCTGAAACACAGGGGGCAGCAGAAGTCCAAGAAGATGAAGATACTCAAGTTGAGATTCCAGTGGATCAGGTAATCACCATGCCTTTAAAAACATGTATACCAATTACCACTATTTTAATTTCCAGTTTTATGTTGTCTGCTCCGTGCTGTTTCTGTGCACACGTTGCTTAAACCTCTCAGGTGCACTGGGCCCGAAAACCTTAAAAACGCAGAAAACACCCTCAGTTCTTCCTACTGTTCCCACAAGGAATAGCCATTTTCATGGAGTATTTTAAAATTATGAACAATGATATATATTTAATAAAGAACATTGAAGAATTTAGTGGATTGGAGTTAGGTATGAGATATAAAGAGGTAGAAAGCTTGATACAGAAAAAATAATAATGGCTTGGAGTTTTATCTACAAAAAAAGCCCTTCATTAGAGAAGCAGGGTTATGTTGTTTAGTTTCATTTAAAAAATATCATGGTATTTTCTCCTTTAGCCTCCTTGAAGTTGTGGCAGTTGGAATTCTGTCATACAGTAATCGCTTATATAAATGGAACTCAAATGTTTGCTGCGTGTGTATTGATTTTATTTCCTAGGCCAGCGGGACACTGCATGGTGTGTGTGTGCGCCGTGTTTAAACACGTATGCTTATGGGACTGAGTAATATTAATTTTGGCTAAATGATGCCAGAAATAAATCAGTTAGACTTTTTCATACAGTTCAACCAGGTTTCTTACAGTGCGGAGTGGAGGATGGGAGTTCAGGTGAAGAGGGAAAATCAGAATCCCAGGCTCAAGGGAATGAGAAGTCACTAGGGATTGCCACTTGTTCGCCACCTACTATGTGATGATTCCTTTAAAAAAGCAAATTTCACAATCCAGCTAATTCCATAGGTGACCTTCTCAACTGTGTTTGTCTTAACAGGTGTCAGTGCAGTTGCCACTTGATTATTCCACAGGCATTTTCTGTAAGCGTCACTGTCCTGGTGGAAAGCCTGGTGTGTCAACAATCACAGAGTTAAAAAATCCAACTTATTATCCAGGATTAGCTGCAACTAATAATTTTTTATAAACTCCAGTTATAGATATTTTTTCTGAGGTTAAATGGAATTTTAAGTCTCCTGTGAAACTGTAATTAAATATTATAAGACAAAGACGAGATGTATATACCAAGCTGATAGCTGCTGAAACCAAGACCAGTTTATATTCCAAAGACAAAAAGCCAAGTACCAAGAAAAAAATCATAGCATTATCACCAAAAGAGAGATCTCTTTGTTAGCCATGTGATGTGTTATGGAATCTGTGATAGGTATTTCTCTACTGGTAAATTTGATGATCACAAGGTAGGTGGCTGGAAGGGGCGTTGATCACTGACGATAGCTAAGCAGCCGTGGACAAGTGTCCTCATAACTGGATTTCTTATTTGACTGGCGATTGCTAACTTATTATAATACAAGTATGCCAGAGAGACTGATTACACAGATTGGTAAAAGCTGAGCAATATCAACTAATTGATGTCATTTTGAAGGCCATAAAATCAGGTAATAAAAGACCAGAATTATTTTCTTCTTTGGCTCCATGAGTGATAGAGTTGGGATTGTCTAGCTCATGTGGTTGGCATGAGCTGCATGTCTTGTCAGGGCTTAGACTCATTCTCTGTATGATATGGTGACCGTTAGCTCTATGTCCTAAGCAGCTATGTTATAAATATTGTGAAAAACCAAGTGAGAGTGTGGAGAAATTAGGGTCCATTATATTAACAGCAACAGTGAGGATGTGGTCTCAATGGTGATCCTCATGGAACAATAGTTGCTGTCCATTAAGGACCTACTGAGTGCCAGGCACTGTGGTGGGCACTTTTATCTCATATAATTGTGGTGACAACCCTGTGAAATAGGTTTTACTATTATTTCCACTTTTTTTTAGAGGAAGAAAGTGAGTGTACATGGGTGGAATTTGTTGTCCAAGACTGTACTGTTAAATAAAGGGGTTGGGATTTGAATGCAGGTCTGTTTAACTTCAAAGCACTTGTGTGACATGAAGGAAGAGTATTAAATGCGAAAAACAAAATGGAAATGAAAAACAATTATTAGCCCAGAGATCAAAATTTTTGTGTAAGAAAGGAAATGTTACACAACTTGGCTCAGATACAAATGATACTTATACTTCCTTTTGGGCTACTCCTAGTTAACTTCTTTGAGTTGGTTTCCTGTTACCAGTGGCAAACGTAAGGCCCCAGTGGCAAACGTAAGGCCCGAGGGCCAAATGTGGCCCTCCTCCACCTTGTTTTATCTGCCTGGCATCTTGTTTCTACCTGTCAACAGTGCTGAGCTCCTTGCCCTAGGTAAGGAATAGTTACATTTACACAGTCCTAAAGTTACATTCGACCCTTTGAAGGAAATGGCAGGGCTGATGTGCTCCGCCGCCGCCCCCCATGAAAATGAGTTTGACACCTCCGAATAGTTCATGTTGTAATTTCAGTGAAGTGTGTGTGTGTGTGGGGTTGTATGTGTGTGTGTGTATAAATGTCATGTGCAAATTGGCTAAGTAATTTAGCTGTGCCTGAAAGGCAGATTAACTTTTAGAAGTAAATATCAAGACCTCTGTTGGGACGCAGTTCTCTATAGAGGTCTTGTGTTTCTCTATACCTTGTGAGCAGAGGTACTAATTGCCTTTGTTCTGGACTGTCTTTTTAAATATAGTGAATAGGCTTGAAAGAGAGATAGTGACTTTCTCTGGAGTAATCATTCTCAGCAAGGAAATTCGGGCAACTTCTGGGGACATTTTTGATTGTTATAGCTGAGGAAATCTAGTAGGTAAGCAGCCAGGGAAGCTGCCAAAACATCCTGGTATGTGACAGCCACAAAATTATCCAGTCTAAACTGTCAGTAGTGCTGAGATTGAGAAATCTTGCTGTAAAGAAAAGGCGAGGTTTGTTTATTGTCTACTATAATAAAGGTAATGTCTCCCTATGGCACAAAAGTCAGGCAGGTTCACTATCTATTATGGGAAATTGGGTGCCATTGAATTGTATACTCAAGACTAGTTAAAATGGCAAATTTAATGTTGCGTATATTTTACCACAATGAAAGTATTTGAGAACAAAAGATCTGGGCTCTCTAAGCATGGGGTTTCCCCCCTGAAATGCAGACACCACTGTCGAATCATCTAGCCTCCATCACCTTGCCTTGGGGAGTGGGGCCTTGGGGCTTAAGTTCAAGCAGTGATGCTCTCACCACTGACGTTGCTGTGAGCAGGGCAGTCCTGTCTCTGACCCACAAGTCTCATGCCTTCTGCCAGCACCCACACCACTGTGGCAGGCCAGTGTGTTGGCTGGCAAGTGTGGTAAAATTTCAGACTTTTCAGTCCTTACCAGTCTCCACTGGCATCAGCTGGCACATGTGTTTGTGTGTGAGTGTGTCTAATCGGGCATTGTGGATAAAGTCCAGCCAAGAAAGAGTCGGAACTCTGTCCCAGCGTCGAGACTCTTTTTATTTTTTAGGGACAAGTTAATGACTCTTTAAAAACTCATGGAAAACTGAAGAATGTCACATTCTTTGACATATTCAGAAAGGTCAAAACAAATGTCTTTTCTTAGGGAAGACGTTAGGTCTAATAAGAATTTGGGACTATTATTAGAGTACCACACACATCCCAAATCAATCTGGTTGTCCAAAGGCAGTGGGGCAGGTGCCTGACTCAGCAGTACCTGCGGCTCTACCCTGGCAGTGACGACTCATGTGACATCATGCTCTGTTTATAAAATGATGCTTTCCCAAGTGAAGGAAGCAAGAAATGAGCCTGTCCCATTATGTTCATGTACACTGCCCCTAATAAGTGAGGATTAGGAAGGGGAATTTGCCATTTCGGAAACATTGGCAAATAAATAGCTATAAAATAGGCAAATCAGCAATTACGTTTTAGATTTTGTGCCATTTGACTGAAGAGAGCACATGACGGGGACAGTGACCGACCGCGGTTTTGGATTGTTTTAGAGCATGCGCCACAGTACGCAGTGGGTTTGAGCAGCGCAGTAGTGAGAAGTGCTGCAGGTTTCCACGCTGGTTCCATCAGCCAGCGCTGCAGTCACTGTCGTGAGCACTGGGGCAGAGCAGTGAACGCTTTCTTCTTTTTTAATCGTAGGTCGTGATATATATGGTTTTCCTGTTTATTTAAAACTTCTTAATCCAAATTACACACATAATATTTTTAAAAGTCAACCAGTTCAACAGAGATGATAATAGCAATGGTGCCCTCCTGTTCCACTTCTCCCCACCTGGGTGCCTTCCCCACAGAGGTAACCTATTTGGACAATAAAGAGCCTTTCAATTGGTGACATCTCAGTTTGACAAGGTACATTTCCTGATTTTATTCTTCAAATTTAGATATTATTTACTAACTTTAATGGCTATGGAAGGTGATTATTTAGCTCTACCAACTTTTTCCCATCCCTCCTCCCCAAATAAGGCCACATGAACAAAAAACCCTCACACACATGCCTTTCCCCTTCTGTCTTTGCATTATAATTGCATAATAATTTTTGGCTAAGTCAGTATTAACTGTACATTATTTTGCTGTGTAAGGACAGTATGATTCTTTGCTGAGCATAGAATAGTATAGTATAGTATACTCTGGGTACACTTCCTTTCTTGCATAACCCTTTATTCCTCCTCCCTATTGTAGTATTTTTTAATTATTTGCTTAGGGTTTTGTGTGTGTGTGTGTGTAGTTATTACCATGCCATTTCCAAACTGCCAGGATTGTAGGTCTCCTCTTGGTATATTCAGGTGTATGTAGTGATACTGAAATCTGTTTCATCTTTTAAGCCCTTCAATCACTTGCCTCAAGCTGGTTAATTGTTCTGTAGATCTGCTTTTTAGCATTATCCTGGTATTTTTCTTCACCATTATTTCAGAAATTTCCTTTGTTTCCCCAGTGGATGGACCCTCTATTTCTTGGATTCTATATCTTAGTCTTTGTTGGTTACACCTTCATGGAAGACACAATTTGTTTGAAACTTTGCATGTCTGAAAATGTCTTTTTTTCTGTTCAAACATAACTGTACGTATGACAAGGTATAAAA